AGCAAATCTGTACGAGCGCATCCAGTAAAGCAACAAAAAGCAAACATAAAGCTAAACAAGTCAACATTATTTGAGAACATCACAAGACAATATAGTTGAGATAAAATGCATGTCAATAGACCAAATCCCATTAAATCTTTCCTCTTTTGTTGTAGCTCCCCATCCATCGTGGCGTTCAATATCAATTTGATGCACCTCCAGTTGACCGATATATTATACATTCCTTATGATCTTGTCTTCCATTTATCAAAACCAAGCTGTCACACCCCAACATGGGGTTAGATTTCTTTTAGTTTAAAATATATGAAATGATATGATATTTGGTTGGCTAATAATTATTTTATTAGACCATTAAGTTATTAAACAAATTGAAGATAATGAGTTAGGTAGAAGTGGACAAATTGTGGGGTGTGGGATTAAATAAATGATATGGCAATGTCTGGAATCCATTTCCAGCTTTCACTTTCAAATTCCAACAAGAGTTTTAGAAGAGTTGCTTTATCATCGTCTCTCCTTTTTTCCCTCCTCTTTCTCTCCCTTTCCCTCAAACCAAATGCTCCGTATCACTCCACCTGCCCCCATGAACATCCTTAAAAGCTTCGGCTTCGGAGCCAACATCAAGCCGAACCCATCAATGCAAAACTCTGCCATCGCTTAAGGTCCAGATGACGACGTCCCTGCTCCTGGCTAGCAGTTGCTCAGTTCGGTGCTGGGTGTTTTTGGGGCGTTGAATTGGCGTTCCAGAGGGTTCCGGGTGTGATAAAAATGGAGGTCGGGTATACTTTAGGGTTTATGGATAATTCAAGTTATGAGGACGTGTGTTCTGGGATTACCAATTATAATGAAGTTGTGAGGCTTCAGTATGACCGTAAAGAGTTAAATAAGGAATAAGGAAATTATACGTGGGAGAAGGAAGTGAGAAAAGAGATGGACAATGCAATCACTTGAGCAAAGGAAATCCAATGTCTGAACCTTCAAATCTGATAAAGGATGAAGGAGCAAATCACGTGGGTTATGTGGCAATGCCCCACACACCAATTATTTGCCAAATAGAGTTATGATTTCCAAAGGAATATCACGTGGGTGGTGTTTTAAAAAGAAAATATAGTGGCTCAATAATGAAAATTAATTCGGTTCAATCCTAATTTTAGTGATTAATTATTATAGTAACCCCACAAGTATTCTATTATACTAATTGGGTTTCTAAATTATTATTTCAATTCTAATAAGCTATCTTTATGGCAAAGAAAATTATTTGGATACGAGTTAGTAATTTTGATGGTCTGGATCGAGAGGAAATTATTAGAAGTTGAATCAAAGATTGAAGACGTTCGAATGGAATTTAAATGGTCGACCAGTATGACACGGAAAATCGAGGTAATACTTTACTACCTCTTTATGTTTTATGGAACATGTTAATAATGGATAGATACATGGACATATATATGATTGGTTTATTATGTATGTTTGATTATGGATGGATTCGGAACAAATACGGTTTAAGTGATAAATTAGTTAAGACTCTATTGAACTACAAGTTCTATGATTGAGTGATAAAGGAATCAGTCCTGAATATGTAAATTATAATTTATCTCATTAAAGTTACTTGGATGATAAATTATGAGAATACTCCGGTTTAGTAAAATTACGAAAATGCGTCTATGTTTTAAAATGACAAGAATTGTCACTGGAAGTTGATTAATAACTCTGAAAATATTTATTGATATGATAAAATTACAGATGTGCATAAGAAATGCTAGTTTTGCTTAGAAAATTTTGATAACCGGTTTTTAACCACAAGAGGGTTTGTGCAAGATATTAAAAGCCTGTTAAGGAATAATTTCAAGATCACAGAATGTTCGGGAAAGCAATTGATCATAGGATCTTTAAATTTTAATTATTTTCGTTAAGAGCTAATATCGAAATTATATGGTTTAGAAATTACGAAAATGCCCTTGAGAAGTAAAATAGTCCGAGTTGACCCTGAATGAGAAAGTACTTTGAGGATTTGTACTTAACTTGATTAAGTACGAATTTGATTGTTAAGATCCTGACTTAGTGCAGAAAAATTATTGATATTCCGTTGTTAAAAACCTGAGAAGGCACTTGACCCAAAAATATCCGAGTTACGAGTAATACCTGAAGAACAATTTATCGGGGTGCTCTTTTATCATAATTGTTCGAATGGACTGAAATAAATGATAAATTGGAATTAAATAATAAGACAGGATGGAAGGAAATGATTGAAATACATCATATCTATAGAATAACCATAATACCTCTGTAATGGAAATGACCCAAGAATATCAACAAGCTCAGGAATGATTAAATATTCTCGAACTCTGTAAAGAAAGGAATAAATCTGAGTACCAAAATAACCAAAATACCCTTATGGTCTAGATTAAGTAAATGTTTTGGATTAATTAAGGAATCCAAATAAACATGGGTGTTGAACTACCCTTAAAAGTTATGGAATTTAGCTTAAGTGAGTTGACCAACGCTAATGATATGTCAGTACCTGAATGGCTTAGGCATCATTTGAATGTGTGTTCATTTTCACAAGTTTTGTTCGATGATAATTTTGAAAATACTCAGCTCAACTCTAGATCACATTCGGTAATAAGAAAAGGATATTCGTTATACAAATCAACCACGAAGACCGAATTGAATTGAACGGAAGTACAATATGTATCTGAAATTCAGAAATGTCTGGATTATCTGGAAAGCTTTGAAGTAATCGGGATAGATTTGAATGCTAAATGAACTGAGTAACCTCAATGACTGAGGATTAAATAGGCGATTGGATGAGTTTGGGAACACTGTTGAACCCATAGTTTATCCTAAATGAAATTGAATAAAATACATAAATGATTTTTTACTATATAATATTATTTTATTAAGTCGAATGATTATTTAAAGTTACAAAATGGGTTTTTTATTATGATATATTATTTTATTGAGTCATTCGACTATTAAAAGTTATAAAATGATCATCTGACTATTCATATATTCAAAACTCATCTTTTTTTAAAAAAATTGAAGGCAATCTAAGCTAGATGTTAACTCACTGACTATGATATGATAAAAATAATTCCAAAATCTCGAACGAATAGCATATCTTAGTTAAAAGATTAATATCTAATTCAGATTATCATCAATTGTTTTAACAAAAAATGATAAGTTTGGAACATATGAATAGACATGAGATCATTTTGTAACTTCTAATAGTCGATGGACTCAACAATACAACACCCTATAGTTGAGGGACCATTTTGTAACTTGCAATAGTCGGAGATAAAATAAAATAACACCATATAGTTAGAGAACCATTTATGTATTTTACCCAATAAAGTTTTACATTTATTTAATTTAAGATAAAATTCAGAGTACAAACCAACTTACCTGAGTGGTTAAAAGAATTATTGTTATTCCTAGAAGTCATGGGTTTGAGCACTAACTACTGCAAGGGTAATTGAGTGTTTATTTCAATGTCAAATGGTTAAGATTACTAAAAATAGATATTACTTTGTAATCACTTTTAACTTAATAAATAAAATAAAATTCAGAAACTAATTGTGTAGATTTTTTTTAATATATCCATTTTAATCAAAATAATAATAATTTTAAGTATTTATTTTATAAAATAAAATACTTTATATATTTGGATAAAAAAATATACTTTATAATATAAACCTATTTATAGAGAGAGAGAATGACTGTAACATACAAAAATCAAAAGCGTGTTGGTTCCACCCGACTGAATCCTCGTAGACTTTTTTCCGCACGGTCGAACTGACACCCAAATCTCCCCACATTTCTCATGATGGGTTTTGAACGCCACACTCTTATGTACGCCTGCCACATGTGGAGAATCGGTCCACATAGTAGAAGAAGAGTTGAGAGTAAAGCGAGTTGGAGGGAAAGAGAGAAGCATGGGAGGAAGGTGGTTTCGAACAAAGGATGGGGCCCCACTTCCCAGAAAAACCGCCAACCTGGGATTTGAAACTGCTCTGACAAAGATATCCATACGCTCCCATTACAAATACGTCTCTAATGCATCTAAAAAAAATGGTAACATTATTCAAATAACTAAATATATCATTATATGCTATATCATTAAAAAATAGGATAAAATACACAAATGATCAACTAATTATTTTTAAAAGAATAAATCTTAAGGATAAAATATTTATTGAATTACGATGAATTCAAGAAATTGATGTAAATAACAAATTTACATAGGGTTGCATATATAAGATTAAATTGAACAAAATATAAAACTAAGAGATAAAATTAAAAATGAGAAAAATTAATTTTCAAAAGAAAATTAAAGTTAAACATTTATTTTATAATGATTGAGGATTACATAATTCAAATTTGATAAAAAAATAAACTTAAACTAACGATGAATTAAAGAAACATAAAATATTTATACTAAATCACCAACAATTAAATTATTTAACTGAAGATTAAAATAAATTTTTTAATTTTCTTTATCTACTTATATTATTAATAATGTTTTTAATCTTCAATTATTGAGAATAAGTTGTTAAATTAAACAGTAATTGATGAAAAGCGAAGCCAGCTAAGGTTTGAGAGAAACTTTGAAGAAAAATGGAAAAGCAGTAGCAGGGAGATTTCACTAGTCACTTTCAACCATGATTAGAAACAAAAATTAAAATCAAATTAAATATTGACAATAAATCTAAGGTTAAATCAACTACTCTTATCTATGTCACTTTGCATGGTTGGATATGATCTGTCAAATTAACAATTTTTTTCATATATATTTTCATTTTTCATAAATTTCCTTTCCTTCCATAATCTCCTCAAAAAGCCCTATAAAAAGTAAATAACTCTTTAACAAACCAACCCAATTCTCCCACTTCTATTTTCCATACACACTCTTTCTCAGTTTCTTTGAGCCTTTACCAGTGTTGGGGTTTAAAGTTTTTGCAGATTTTGGGTTATTCTTGAAGTTTTTAACTTGTTTTTTTTTGTAGTAAAGTTTGTTGTTTTCAATGTTTTCTTGAAGAAGATTAGAATGAAACTGACTTCTGGAATTTGGGGTCTTTCCTTCAATAAAATCTATCAACTACAAATTTCCTTTTGTTGAATTTGGGTCCTCAAAAATTTCAACTTGCAGTACAAAGATCGAATTTCAGCTCTTTGGCCAATGCAAACTTTATGTTCTTGGTGAGTTGCTCAAATCCTTACTTCTTTTGCTTTAAAGCAGCTTTATTTTTTATTTTTGGAAATGCTACTCCGTTTTTAATGAAACTGGAGTTGGTTGATTGTGAGTGTAAGCATGCTATTGTTTTGTATTATTGTATGCTTCAATGTTATCTTGAAAAATATTTGTTTAATCATTGTTCTGTTGAGTAAAATAATATTTCGTAGGTATTGTTAAGTTGTCTTATTAATTAAAACTGCAGATTAGGTGTATTTATGGTTCATTCATGCATGGATATGGTTTCTTTCTTCTTCTTTTCAGAATCTGGTCCCACTAAAGATCATTCTTTGGATAATCACTTAGATTTGGCATAAAGTCACTCAACTATTCTCCATAAATTTTGTAAGGTATGACTCATAAATATACCGATAAAGAGGACAGGAGATGGAACGGAGTGAGCGAAGCGAACATCAACTATCCTTACAAAGAAAGTCTCGTAGTGGGGGTTACAATTATGGGGGTTATAATTATGTGGGTTGGGGGTGCGGGGGCATAGGCCCCGCGGTACGGTACAGGGTTAATTTTGTAATTATATACCAGAGTTTTCTATTATAAATAGAGATGTAACCTAAACCTATGATGATTGAATAAAATTTCTAGCGCCGCCTAGGCACCGAGGACGTAAGTACATTGCCGATCCTCATTAAAATTATTGTGTTCTTTCATTTACTTTTCCCGATTTTTCAACAATTGGTATCAGATGTCAGGAGCAAAATTCGAAGTTGCGAAATTCGATGGTTAGGGTAACTTCGAATTATGGCAAACGAGGGTGAATGATCTGTTGGCGCAGCAGGGGATCCTGAAGGCTTTGCGACCTACAAAGTCGGCGTCGATGGAGGAGGAAGATTGGGAAGAATTGCAACATCGAGCGGCAGGAACCATACGATTATGTTTGGCGGACGAGGTCATGTATCACGTCATGCATCTGTCGTCTCCAGATGAAATTTGGAAGAAGTTGGAAAGTCAGTTTATGTCCAAATCCTTAACGACAAAACTGTATATAAAGCAGTAGCTGTATGGGCTGAAGATGCAGGACGATCATGATTTGGTACAACACATGAATATCTTCAATCAAATCATTTCTGATTTGGCTCGACTTGATGTGAAAATTGAGTATGAAGATAGAGTGATGATTTTGTTGTGTTTGTTGCCTCCCTCTTATGAACACATGGTGACTACTCTTACATATGGGAAAGAGACTATCAACATTGAGGAGATTACTGCAGCCTTGTTGTCTCACAACTAGCGGAAGCAAAATGCAAGGGAAAGCTCTCAAGTCGATAGCTTATATGCCAAGGGTAATTGAGACCGTGGACGGAAGCCAAAGAAGGCAGGGTCTGGCAAGCGGAATTCCAGATCCAAATCTAGAGATAAGAAGACAATTCACTATTATAAATGCAAGGAGTCGAGACATATGAAGCGAGACTGTCCGAAGTTGAAAAAGAAGACTGATGAGAAGCGTGATGATTCGTCCAAGTCTGTGAATGTGGTCGAGGATGACAATTCTGATTGCAGTGAGGGTGATATGCTCTCTATTTCAACGACTCAATTGAAGGATGTTTGGATTCTTGATTCTGGATATTCTTATCACATCACGCCAAATAGGGAATGGTTTTCGACATACATGTCGGTTAATTTTGGTTCTGTTTATTTGGGCGATGATCGATGTTGCAATATTGTTGGTATTGGTGAGGTCAGAATTAAGATGTATGATGGCTCTATTCGGACGTTGGGTGGTGTTCGGCATATCCCAGATTTGAAGAAGAATTTGATTTCTTTGGGCACTTTGCACAAGAATGGTTTTATCCCTAAGGCTGATGAGGATAGGGAAACCATTTGGATTGTTAAAGAAGCTTTGACTGTGATGAAAGGAAACATGACTGCAGGGAATATTTACAGATTTTTAGGGAGTAACGTTGTAGGTGGAGTTCATTCTGTTGAGTCTTGTGATGATACTACCAAACTGTGACATATGTGTCTTGCTCATCTCAGTGAACGTGGTATGGCTGAATTACATAAAAGAAATCTGTTTCATGGTGTTAAAAGCTGTAAGCTCTATTTTTGCAAGTATTGTGTTCTTGGTAAACACACTAAAGTTCGTTTCAAGACTGCGAAGCACACAACTGAAGGGATTCTTGATTATGTGCATTCTGATGTATGGGGGCCTTCCACGACATCATCTTTGGGTGGATCTAGGTATTATGTTACTTTCATTGACAATTTTTCACATAAAGATTGGGTGTATTTTTTGAAACAGAAGTCCGATATTTTTGAGAAGTTCAAGATGTGGAAAGCTGAGGTAGAAAACCAAACAGAACAAAAAATTAAGTGTTTGCGGTCTGACAATGGTACGGAGTACACATATACACAGTTTCTAAACTTCTGTAAGGAGCACGGGATTAAGAGGCATTTTACAGTGCGCAAGACACCACAACAGAATGGTGTTATAGAACGAATGAACAGGTCGTTGAATGAAGAACCAGATGTTTGCGGTTGAATGTGGGGCTTCCCAAACACTTCTGGGTTGAGGCTGTTAACATCGCATGTTATCTTATCAATAGATCGCCATGGGCATCATTGGCTGGGAAAGTTGCAGAAGAGGTATGGACTGGTCATGAAGTTAGTTTTGATCACTTACAGATTTTTGGTTGTCCTGCTTATGTGCATGTACCTGCTAATGAGAGATCCAAACTTGATGCAAAATCGAAGGAGTGCATTTTTCTAGGTTACAAGAAAGGTGTCAAAGGATTCAAGTTCTGGGATCCAGTTGCGAAGAAAATTATGATCAGTAGAGACGCTGTTTTTGATGAACAATCCATGTTACAGTAGAAAATGGGCACGACAGTGGTGGATTTTGAGTAGTTTCCAATTGAGAAAATAGAAACTTTTCAACTGACTTCTGGTAGTTCCGCTACGGATGCTTTGCAGGATTATAGTCTCACCAGAGACAAGGTGATACGGACGAATATAAAGCCTCCGAACAGATTGGGTTTTGAAGACTTAGTCTCTTTTGCACTTACTGTTAGCAGTGATGATCCGGTTACTTTTCATGATGCAGTTAATAGTCAGGAAAACGACAAGTGGATGGCTGCCATGGTTGAGGAGATGGAGTCTTTGAATCACAATCGTACATGGGAGTTAGTTCCCCTTCCTGAGGGTAAGAAGTCGATTGGTTGTAAATGGGTGTATAAGAAGAAACCAGTAGTAATAGAAAAAGAGGGGGAGAAGTTCAAGGCTTGCTTGGTAGAAAAGGGTTTTTCATAGTAGAATGGAGTTGATTATGATGAAATGTTTTCTCCTATGGTCAGGCACACTTCAATCCGAGCAGTACTTGTATTGGTGGCTAGTTGGGATTTACATTTAGAGCAGATAGATGTTAAAACTGTTTTTTTTGCATGGTGATTTAGAGGAACAGATCTACATGCGGCAGCCTGAAGGTTTCACTCAACCTGGAAATGAGCATTTAGTTTACAGATTGAAGAAATCTTTGTACGGGTTGAAACAGTCTCCGAGACAGTGGTATAAACGGTTTGACTCCTATATGATCACGATTGGCTACAACCGATGTGAGTATGATTGTTGTGTCTATGTTATTAGCCTTGATGGTGGTTCTTTTATTTTTCTATTACTGTATATTGATGATATGTTGATAGCTTCGAAAAACATGGATGATGTTATCGGTTTGAAAACCTTATTGAGTCAGGAATTTGATATGAAAGATTTAGGTGCTGTGAAGAAAATTCTTGGAATGGAAATTTGCAGGGACATAGACTCAAGGAAACTGTGGTTATCTCAACGGGGTTATGTTGAGAAAATGCCAGAAAGGTTTGCGATGAGCAGCGCAAAACCAGTTAGCACTCCATTGGTGAAACACTTTAAGCTCTCATCAGAACAGTTCCCTAAGACAGATAAGGAAGCTGAAGATATGGTGAATGTTCTGTATTCTAATACTGTTGGCTGCTTGATGTATGTAATGGTATGTACTCGTCCTGATTTAGCTCATGATGTTAGTCAAGTTTGTAAGTACATGTCTAAACCTCGTAAGCAACATTGGAAAGCAGTCAAGTGGATCTTTCGATACTTAAAGGGTACAGTGGGACATGGAATTATTTTTGGTAGTCAGCGGGATAATCCTTTGGTTGTAGGATATGTGGATTCAAACTATACAGGTGACTTGGATAATAGAAGATCTACGACAGGGTATGTTTTTACTCTTGGTGGAGGACCTATTTGTTGGAAGTCTACTGTTCAATCTATTGTGGCACTATCTACAACTGAAGCTGAATACATGGCAGCGGCTGAAGCTACAAAAGAAGCTTTATGGCTCACTGGTTTAGTGAAAGAGTTGGGTGTTCAGCAAGGTAGAGTTCAATTGCTTTGCAACAATCAAAGTGCTATTCACTTGGCTAAGAATCAGGTATATCATGCTAGAACTAAGCATATTAATGTATGTTTTCACAAGATCAGAGAGTTGGTTGCATCTGGAGAGGTTTTCTTTCAGAAGGTACATACGGATAAGAATGCCGCTGATATATTCACCAAGCCAGTTACGACAGATAAGTTCAAGTATTGCTTGGACTTGTTGAATATTTCGAGTTGTTAAAGAAGTAAAGTAACCCAACCTACATTGAATGTTTCCTAAGGGGCAGGATATTCGCTAAGTTGGAGATTTATAAGGTATGGCTCATAAATATACTGGTAAAGAGGATAGGGGAATGAGCGGAGTGAGTGAAGGGAACATCAACCGTCCTTACAAAGAAAGTCTCATAGTGGGGGTTACGATTATGTGGGTTGAAGGTGCGGGGGCGCAGTCCCGCGGTACGATATGGTACAGAGTTAATTTTATAATACTGTACCAGGGTTTTCTATTATAAATAGAGATGTAACCTAAACCTATGATGATTGAATAAAATTTCTACCGCCGCCTAGGCACCGAGGACGTAAGCACATTGTCGAACCTTATTAAAATTCTTGTGTTCTTTCATTTACTTTGCCCTATTTTTCAACAAATTTGCAGTGAACTGTTTCGACAAGAACAGTTTATTTCCTCTAAATTTTATGTCCTTCTCTTCCGCTGTCACAGTCTACAGACGTTGTGTCAGCTGCCATCTACGGTAACCGTTGACCGACAAAACTACAAGGTTATTTATGGGGCAGAGCTTGCGGTTTTATTTGTTGATGCACTTGTCTAGATCTTACTGAAGCTTTTGGGGCTACAAACACGTCTAGAAGGTTGTTTGACCTGTCTTCTTCATTTAAACTTCCTGTTTGACCTTTCCTTATTGGTTCCACTAAGTTTTCTCCGTATCTTTGAAGAAAGAAGGATTCCGATCAATTTTCAAATTCTGCTTTACTTCAGATTTTTATTATAATCTAAATTTACTTGCCTTCAGAGTTGAGAAATTGGTTCAATCTTCAACGCGTGTGCTTGAGTTATATCAGATTTGGCGTTAAATCCAAGCTTTAGAAATTCTTCGGGTCTGGTTCACTGTAGAAGTATATGGAGACTAAGAGCACTAACGGGATTTTGCCGTTACCACAGCTTCTTTTGCAGAATTATGGAATTATGAAATCTATATCCCTCGCGGGATCGTCTTGGATACGAGCTATGTTGTTCCCGTGGAGTTTTTACGCCTACTCAACTTTGGGTTTAGCCAAACGAGAGTCAAGACCAAGGTTAAAGGCTCTGTCTGAGAACTTTGCTTCAAGGTTAGCAGCTACACACAAATTACAGTTTCTACAATCTCGTCGGAGTAACAAAATTTGTGTTGACTGTAAAAATAAAAATCCACAATGGACTTCGGTAACATACGGTGTTTTCATGTACTCAAAATGTTCCTGTAAACACCAAGGCTTATGTATACATATCTCGTTCGTTCAATCTGTTAGCTTGGATTCGTGGTCAGATATCCATATCAAGAAAATGGAATTAGGTTCTAACGACAAGCTCAACCCTTTTCTGGCACAATATGGTATTCTTAAAGAAACTGATATCGTTACCAAGTATAACACAACTACTGCGAGTATTTACCGTGATCGTTTGCAACCTCTCGCTGAGGGTCGTGTATGGAAGAATCCACCAGTTGTTAAGGAAACTGTCAATGGTGGTTCTAGTGGTAATCAGAAGCAGTCGGCAAGTGCTTTTAGATCCGAAAATTATCAAGGTGGTATAATGGGAGGTATTAAGGAAAAGTCGAGGTCGAGTGAGGACAAGCATACGAGATCCCGATTGAACGTTTTGTCGGCAAATAAGGAGACTTTTTACGCCAGTAAAAAGATGGATAATAAATTTAGGCCTTCACAACGAATGAATAATGGGATTGGGAAGCGAGCTTTAATAGAGACATCAGTAGCTCAACCTCCCAAAGATGTTGTCCACGGTGGAATCAAGGAATTCAACATAAAAGGGTGTAGTGGTAACAACTCTGGTGAAGGAGCAAGAACTGAGATATTCGAATTTAAGGATTAGTGGAAGGAAGGTCATACAAATGTTAGTAATGGGTACAGAAGTGGATGTTTCACGTTATTCATTGAAAATCTACCAGAGAAGATCCATCGGAAGAGACTTGGAGCTTTATTTTGCACTCATGCTCATGTTATTGATGCCTTCATTCCTAAACAAAGAAAATTGAAAGGGGTTCGTTTTGGGTTCATTCGCTTTGCAACAATTGAAGAAGAAAGGAAAGCGATATCAAAGATGAATGGTGCTCATATTTACGGCAACAAAATTAGAGTCTCTTTGGCTAACTATAAACCTCGGCAATCTTATTAGAGAAAGTCCTCGACAGTTGTTCAATATAAGTCTGGGATGGAAGATGTTTCGAGGAATAAACACTATGAAGTTGAGGGTGTTGTGGACGAAGATAAACTTCACGTGATTAGTAACTGTCTTGTAGAGTGGTGCAAGAATTTCATCAAAATCGGTAATCTTGCTCACCAAATGCAAGCCAAAGGACTAGATGGTTTCACGATAATGAGAGCTGTTGGAAATGTAGTTCTAATGGTTTTTGAAGACTCCGATTCATTGAGAAGCGTGAAGAATGATAAATTAGAGACTCTTGCAAAATGGTTTTCCAGAGTTGAAGCTTGGTCAGAGAGTCTGGTGGTGGAGTGTCGTCGCGTGTGGTTAGTTTGCGAAGGTGTTCCTTTTCACGCTTGGAATTGGGACACTTTCAAAAACATTGCAGCTAAGTAGGGCAAACTATTAGCAATTGACAACAGTTGTGAGTTTCCATCGTCTTTTGATCGGGCCAAAATTCAAATACTCACAAAGGCTCAAGTGAGAATTGACGAGTTGTTGGAGTTGAAGGTCGGTGCTAATTTATTCAAAATCATGGTGCATGAAGTTGATCCTTCCTTCAAACCAAATTCCTGGTCCCTGAAGATTGCGATATTTTATTAGAACTTGTTCCATCAATTGGATTGTAACTGTTCGGCAACTATATTCAGAGGCCTTTTTTTTAGTTTTTTTTGTTGCAAGTGTGGTCTTTCTATTTTTGCTATGTTCTTTTACAACTTGAGGTGTATTTTTAGAAACCGGGTTACTATCTTTGGGGCTTTTTGTTTGACGATGGGAGATTTTTAGGTGATATGGTTTTTTTGTAATGGTGTATATTCCCGTATGAGGGTATTCGGTGTTTTCACATGTATTTGGTGTTCTATTTAATAAATTATGAGGCACTATTTTCTTCCTTCCAATGTATCTTCAACATACTTCTTAGTATGTGGAAGAATACGAATGGAGTTTTTAATGAGACCTCCAACTTTTATAAAAAAAATCATGCTTTTTCCGCCGTTTGATTAATCGAATCATGTCACTGGTTTTGACTTATCCAATAATTATTTAATTTGCATATTTGTATTTTTTTTTCTTTCAGTTTAATATGTTTGTTTTTCATTGATTCGTGCAACTATTGTCTGTTTGTAAACCTACAGTTAAATATATAACTAGGGAGGTATTGTTTTAAATTATGCTGTTGTGATTAAATTAATGGATTATTATCCGCTGACCAAAGAATGAATTTTCCTCCCAGTTTATCATATTCAAATAATGCTAGAGGTGTGAACTGAGAATGAGATTAAGTTGATTTTTATGCTTCAAGTTGGTTATGTTCTTCCATGGATTCTGACTAAATTATAATGCTCAACTAAAGTATCAATTTTCCATTTTGCTCACCTACTTCGGCTCATGTGCGAGTTTCCGACACTACGGTATTTGATTTTTCCGGCGAATTTTATATATTCCGAGGGTCATTGGTTTTGATTGCTTTAGTTTTGCTCTTGCATTGAATCTTGAACGAGTTGAGAATTGAGGGAAAATATGTAAACAAGTTTGAATCGTTTATATAATCATGCTTACATGGATGATTTCATGTCACATTAGGTAGATGCTGATGATTTCAAAGCTTTCAATTCTTGATTAGCTGGTCTTATATTAGTAAGATGAATGTTCTTCGATAATCTGCGTCTTTAAGCATTTGATATCTTTGATACCCTTTTCATGACTGTTCAGCTTGATGAACGAAGTCGGATGAGTTTCTGATCATGGTGTTATTTCAGTGTGTGATACTTTTTTTTTTTACTTTTTTTTAACCAGTGAAAACTGGATAGAGATCGGAACGATGATGGAAAACAAAAGGAGCCCTTGCTCAGTTGATCATACCAGTTTCACTTCTTTGGCATCGAAACGACAGAAGTCCGACTTATCAATCCCCACCAAGGTATTTAGCCTTTACTCAAATTTATGTCTCCTCTTAGGAATATACATTCTTCTATAGTCATTTCAGAGTTACACTAAAGGAATCCCTCGCCTTTTTTCGAAGGAAGATGCCTAATTTATATCCGCATGGCATAACTACATTCTCTTGACTTATTTTAGGGGTTATATTCTCGAGTATGGTCACGATTGCGTCTTCTGCTATTATTATTTTATCTGCAATGTCAAATTGGTTTCTAGCAATGCAGAGTTTCATCTCTTCATTTCTTCTTTCTGCATACTAATTACTAAGTTGGATATGGTTTGTTTGTAGCTAATAGAATCCTAATTTACTCCTTTTTCGCAATAGGATAAGAAGGATAAGGTCGGGGAACGAATTGTGACTCTGCAGCAGCCTGTTTCACCATACGGAAAGGTACATTGATATTTTGTGCATCCATTATTATGGACATAATTACTGTGGCAAAATGAATTTTGGGTATCCACTGGAGTTTTTGCCTACAAACATCCTGTATTAGTGCTTAATCCGATTTTTCTATGATTTTGAAGCACTATTTGGTTCATTGCAGACAGATACAGCTTCTGTTCTCTTGGAAGCAATGGAATACATACGGTTTCTTCACGAACAAGTTAAGGTCAGTTTTTCTTGTCCGTTTTACCTAAATTATCGTAGCATGCGTATTAGTTGGTGTTAGTTGCAATTTCTAAATGCATGCTCCTAAAGATCAGCAATTGAAAATTCAGTGAACACATACAGCCTATTAATGGCTTATGATTTACCAGTTGCAGTTATGATTTTAATTATCATTATTAATGGCTATGACCATGGTCAGGTTTTGAGTGCTCCGTATCTTCAAACCGGGCCGATAAATAACAGGCAAGCGGAGCCAGGTACACAAAGAAATTAGGATATGTAAACATAAAGCTCTTTTTACTTCTCATGCTCAACCATTTGTCATCATTTATGTTGAAACACAATGGAACCATGAATTTAGGGAGCCATCATTGGAAAATTATGGTCAGATTTTAAATCGGTTTTTCTTCCAGGATGTAGAGCATTATAGCCTGAGAAGCCAAGGACTATGCCTCGTTCCAATATCGTATACCGCCGGAGTTGCTCGTAGCAACGGTGCCGATATTTGGGCTCCCATCAAGACCACATCGCCAAAATTCGACAAGGCTATCTCACCATTCAATTGACGTTTTTCATCGGCTACCGATAGTCTTTGAACATCACTTGAATGGAGTTTAAAAGGTAACCAACTTAATATCGGATGCACACAATTTCCTAATGCACTAATACAGGATGTTTGTAAGAAAAAACTATTAGGCCTTGATCCGTAGGATTCTGGTATCGAAAAATGCAGTCCGACACCTTCTTCGTTTTAATTCGGTGCTCGGATTAAGCTGCATCTAATCAATTCGATTATAGAAGTTAATTGGTCTGTCCTGATCGTTTAATGTAAATTGTAAATTGATGAAGATGAGTTGAATTGCTTCTGTTAATTTGTATGTAGTAATGTTGGTATCCGAAGCGAATTTCATGGCTAGTATTTCAGCAAAACTATCAAACCAATGAGCACCAATCCGTCCAAAATCTCAACAGGTATCCTGTATGGGCTATTCGATTCTGCAGGTATCCCGTGTCCTGTGTTTGTACATTTCGAGATATAGGTACGAGAATATGATCCTCCAACGACATGAAAAACTATCAAAATACTCATATTCGACACACACATCCAAGCACGAACAACCTAAAACAAGACCTCTGCAAGACTACAGCCCATTTACCTCTAAAATAAATAACTGAGGTCAAGAATGAAAATCATCACACAAAAATGTCTGGAAAAACAAACATGCAAAACCAAGCTAACTCTTTATAAGCACACACAGAAGCTCATGTGAATTATCATATATATGCAGAAAAAGACAAATTTCCAGAAATATTCCACAAAGGAAACACTTTCAAGAAAGTAGTGTTAACCCATTTACCCCTGCAAATACCCTTAACAATGGCTTCACACAAAACAAGACCAAACCATTGACACTGTTTCATTGGATCTAAAGTACATAAAATAATAACAATAGTTCCTATGTTCAACTTCAAAATACATTCAACTATTGGGGACGCTGAACTCTCAGAAGCAAATTCAAGTACAAAAAGAACTCCGTGTGTAGAATATATATGCACCTGCAATCATGATATGCATGTCAATAGAACTGCAGGTCAGAGTTAACAACTAAGAAAATCTGTAAGACATAATTTCGTGCATCCACTAAAACAACTAAAAGCAAACAGAAACCTAAACAAGTCAATACCTAGGGCATGTATATACAATTCAAACAATAACAACAATATTTGAGAACATCACTAGACAACATAGTTGACATGAAGTGCATATGAAGATACCAAATCCCATTAAATCTTATATTTTTTGTTGTAGCTCCCCATCCGCCTTAGTGTTCAACATCAATTTGATTCACCTCCAGGTGGCCGTCGTATTATACATTCCTCATGCTCTGATCTTCCCTTCAATGGAACCAAGCTCTCAACATAAGCAGTAATGTGCATTGTTTTCTGATAAGCGTGAATACCAAGATTTCTAAGCTCTTGTATGGAGGAATCAAATAAAACTAGTTCTTGACCCGAGCTCTCGAGAAACAACTCGCCATTTTTCCAAAACTCTAAAGGTCTCTCAACTCTGAGAACAGATTCAACATTGAATTGTTTAGTCCATGACCCATTCATAACCCATAAATCAAAAGAGTTGTCAGTTCCTTCCCTTGGGTAAAAAATAGCACCAAGAAATCCATTGAAGTCCAAAAGGTCTAAATAATATTGTTCTAAACTCCCACTAAATTCAGGCAGTGGTGAAGTTGAAAATTTTTTATTAATCATATCAAACGAAAGAATATGGTGATCAACCCCAACTGCCTGGCAATAATTAAAACCATTGACATAATTATTAAACAAAATAGAATCAAAAGCATAAAACCCAGTAAATGAAATTTCCTTCCACGAATCGCTTTTAAGCGAATATAACTCAACTTGGCCGTTCCAATCTTCCATCAACCCTTCATCTAGATTCTCTTCAAAGTAATTAGTAACAGATCTTACAACTTTGAAGTCATCAGTTTGAGAATCATACCCAAAACCAAGGGAATTAAAAGTAGAGAAATCCAGTAGTCCAGGAGGGCGCTGGACTGTGGTTTGAGGAATGATTTTAAACTCTCTGGTAGATGGGTTCCAAAGGGAAACATTATTTCCAAGACCACCTAGATCTGCTAAACACAATATTCCATTACAATGGCCATGAACGAAAGGTCCCATACACAAAATTCTCAAAAAAGGGTAAGTGAATATTGTGTTTTACTCTAACGTTTTGGTATTTCTCAGTCGAAATTTGAGAGAAATAATGGATGTCATCAGGGGTTCCATCATGACAACGTTTGAGGAGGAGATTAAGGTTATTGTTTTTGAGGTTGTTCTGATGATGTTTGGTAATGAAATGAGGGGTTTCAAAAGATGAAGACCAAGGCTTACAAACGCACCTGAAACGGGTCAAGGATTTAACAGGAAGCTTTGAGAGAATCTCCAACACCAACATATCTGGTAATTCGGTTCTAGTTTTGATCAACCCTTGCATTTCCCTCTTTATCTTCTCTATTTCCTTTGTATTTTTCAATAGATGTTTTTGTTTGGGGAAAGAAGATAGAACTAATATGAAAGAAAAAGAAGACAGACAAAACATATAACAGGTAACATCAAATGTTTTTCTGTAACAAGAAAACTACGATGAAAACTGATCATTGGTTATACTACTTCGACGGGTCAGGTCGAGCCCTTTTAAAACCCATTAGCTTATCATAGACAGGGTTTGCACAATATTGACTATATACAATATATTAGTATTTTAAAATAATTAAAATAATATATTTAATAATAATAATACATCTATAATAATTTATTATATTTTAAATGATTTAAATAATCTATTTTATAATAATTTGCTACATTTTTTACTATTAAAGAATATATTTTAACATTATAAAAATAAAAATAAAACTCTAAAACTTTAAATATATTATAATTATAAATAAATAAATTAACAATTTATATAGGGTCGGGTCGGATCAGTGATATTTTGCATGAAATATACTCTCACACTGACTCGAAGTTATCTATTTATATAACTTGTCATTCCATAAACCGTTGTAATATCAATTATTATTAAGAATTTTATTAAGGGTAAATTATACTAGTGATATTTTACGTTTTTTGATTCGTTTAGTTTTTGTCATAGGTTTAAAAAGTTTTTGGTTTTGGTCACTTTTATTTATGGTCCTTATTGTTAGTAAAAATGGTTAAATTTTAATTTGACCTCTGAATTTAGACAAAAATATTAATTTAACCTTAAACTTTACATAAAATAGTAATCTAACTCTTAAAATCTATAAAAAAAAGAATTAACCCCTAAATTCAGTCAAAGTTAAACATCTCTACTCGCCACTCATTGTGATCGTCGCCCACCATCATTTTTCATCACCAGTCATCGTCGCCGGTTGTCATGTCAGCATGCGATGCCATGTAAGCTTCATACTTCATCTTCATACGTTGATTTTTTTGTTGACTAACGATTTTTATCCACATAGGAACTCCTTTTCCCAAATGAATTGTTAGAGGTAAAAATGCTTGTATATATATATATATAGGGTTCAATTACGCAATATAATATTTGTTATTTTTCACATATATAATACTGTTAAATGAGTGAAAATAGAATACTAAGATTAACAATAGAAAATGAGAAGATATTCAATGAAAAATAAAAGAATTAATCTCATTCAACTATCTCTACTCATCCCATAGTCCTAAATCTGTATTTAACTAAAAATGTTTTATACTATATAAATGGATATATATACTTCAAACCCTAAATTTTGATTTCAAGATTAATCGGGTTGTTGAAAGATAATTAAATTATCACAAATTCAATAATCCAAAACCTCTATCCTCATATATTTTTTTTAATCCCTTCAGTTTAATATTGAAATCAATAACAATACTAGTCAACAATTTAAAAAAGCAATACCAATCATCATCAATTTCAGTTTAAGATTTATGTTAGATGCAACAATCATGCATATTTGAGGGAGTTCAAATTTTATTTTATTAGAATTAAATAAGTTTGTAAATGAGCTAAACGAACACGAATAAAAATATGCTCATGTTTGTTTGTTTAACTTTAACTGAACATGAACATGAACATGAACAACTAAATAAATATATATTTTTTATTAAATCTCATATTCAATTTTGATCTGACCTATTAACATTGTGAATAATAAATTTTATTAAATCTATAAATGCATTTAAGATTTTTATTATTGTTACTTATTCTATTAATTTTGTTTATGAAATTTAATGGAGAAATCATAATATCTATAAGACAAAAGCCCATAATTGCATCATTTTCCTTTTTACAAGCCTTCTATGGTCAAGTTGATCCACGTGAGTTACTTTGTCACCAAGATCCACGTGTTTTTATATATGTTCAGTTAATGTTCAAGTTGATGACTAGGATGATAGAATGACTTAATTGAAACGATATTAGTATTTTGAGAAGTAAATTAGAACATTTAAAATTTGGGGACCAATTCAAAATATGATACATAATTTAGTGTTGTCTAATGCAAATAACATAAGTATTAATTTTACAACCTCTACTCATTCTCAATTTCTAACATTGAGGTTTTTTAACTATATCAATTTTTTACCTTTATAATCGAGAGTTCCTGATTTAGGTTATTTTTTATATAATTATTAAAGTAATAAATTTTACTTTCATTTTATAGTGTCTATTTTAACATTATATTCAATCAAAACAATATTTTATTCAAAGATCTATTTTATTATTTTCTAATTTAATAGGATAAATTTATTATAAAAGCCTTGATTATTTTTAGAAAATACTCTATAAAAGTAAGTCTCCTAATTTCAGGTTGATTAAGATTAAATTAATATAAGAAAGTATATGTCATTATCAACATTATTTTTCTTTGACTTCTTATTCTTTGATGTTAATGTTTTTTTTTTCATTAGTGCATGCTAATGAAGATACACGAGGAAAAATAAATAAAATATCAAGTAATGGGTTTAATTTAAATCGATATATTATTTTATTATTTATTATTTTTATAATTTAAACGCTTTAATATTTTTAAAGTTAATTTTATTATTTATTAAAAATATCATAACTCTAAAGGTTTACTGCAATTTTTATTCAAAGTTTTTTTGTGGGAAAAACTACAAAATCTGTCGACAATTTGCAGGGGCTTGTAGTTTTACCATTTTTAAATGGCAATTGATGTGGGCAGTTTTGAATCTTTGTAATCATTTGTGAAGACGAAGTCGGTCGAGCGTAACACAAACGAATCTCCCACAATTGCAGTACTCCAGTTTTGTTTCTATTAGAAGCAATTTCTGGTGATGCTTTTGTAAGGCTCTGAATTATTTTTATAACATCTCGAACCGTATAATTGTTTCCTGATGTAAGTCCCTTAGCTGAATCAAAATAAGTTAGAAATTGTGTTAGGAAGATGAATTATCAACTATTTAATATTAAAAATTGTTGTATATAATAATAATAATAATAATAATAATAATAATAATATGATAGTGAAACCCATAGATATTACATCATTCCAACCTTTCAACCATCTTATACATAAACTCAATAACAGAATATATAAAAGCAAGTACAAAGGAAACATACTCACCTGGATTTGTTAAGCCTTGTCTAAGCGTTAAGGCAGATTTGAAGTAATCAAGAGGATTATTAGGGTAATCAGAACATGTTCCATTCTTTAACCATTCACGCTCCCAAAAGCCAGTACCCGGTTGAGTAGGGTTCTTCAAATCCGGCCATAATGATATTAAGTTGCTTTCAATTGGAGTAAATGCAGTATTCTAAATTAGAGAAATATACGCTAGATCATATATATAAATTTAAATACAAATAAAAAAGTAAATTAAAAAGTTGATGAGATGCTTACCTGAAGAACTACTGAGTCAGTAATGGGTGCCTTGGAGTAACAGGGATTAGTGGATGCGTTGTAAGGGGGAATCGGAACGTCGTTGGCATCTTGAGGCCATATACCATGGATGATTAACACAGTCGGGATGGGAGTACCACAAGCCATGCTACCGGAATTACACACAGCAAGAGGCCATTGGAGACTGAGTTTATAAAAATGTATGGGGGGTTGAGCTGTAACTAGAACTAAGAAACAAATCACCAAAACAACCACCAACTTATAATTCAACAACATTGTTACAATCAATACTCTCACAATCAACATTCACTATGTGTATAATATTTACAATGGTTAGTCCTTTTATATTGCAAATGCAGCATCAAACTTGTTTCTGTTTCAGTTTCTATTTCAGTCTGTTATATTGAAAATGTTGCATCAAACGTGTTTCAGTTTCAGTTTGTTTTAAGTGGGATACACCTGTGTTTCAGTTTATTCAGCCTGTTTGTAGTGGTGGCACACACATGGTTTCAGTTCGGAAGTTAGGCATCAATAATTTACAGCCCTTAAAACCCAAACATCAAATGTAATTTAATAAAATACAAGATTTAATTATCCCATGTTATGCAGTTTGGCTGCAGCTGTGATTAATCACGCATTTTTAAACCATTGGATCAAATTAAAGTACATTTACAAGAACCAAATATTACAAAACTAAAAACCTATTTACAAATCTAAACCCAAACATATTAAATCCATTAGCCAGGCCCACGCGTGAAGACCCATCAAATGTGGAAAAGGAGGTCTTTTCTCCATATATATAACATGCAAGAAGATTCGAAGAAGTGATGAATTTTGGAGAGCGAGAAAAAACGAAAAGAGAAATGCAACCCAATCACTATCTTCGGACAAGGGAGAAAAATCGACAGAAACACCATTTTCGAACCAAATACAAAACCACAAAAAAGAAGAAAACCCAAAAAACGATACCTTTGAGGGAGGGTTACCTTCGCTTCTTCATTGTTCCCGAGGGTAAATCCTCACTTTTAGGATATTGAGGCTTGTGTGTGTAGTTTGGGGTCTCGAAAAGGAGGTGTTTTTAGGGTTTGGGGTCTTTAAAAATTTGTTTTAGGCTTTGAATCATTGATTTTTTGGTTCAAAGAGAGGCTCGGTGAGATTTGGGTTTCAAAAGGAGTCGTTTTAGGGAAGTTTTCCACTAACGACGCCAATTTACGATGACCGTCGCAGTGGCCAGCTTCTTCTCGACGGAAGAGAATATGAGATGGAGAGAGCATGAGATTTCTGCTTTTAGGAAAAAGATGAAAGAGATACAAAGTGTTTCTTAGCCATTTAGGGCATGAGTTTGGCTTACATTTAAGAAACCAAACGGCGCAGTCTTGAGAGGTAGACACCATGCGTTTAGAGCATGGGCTATTCATGCGGGAAAGGTCTCCACATTTGCAATCTTCCATTTTAGTTACTAAATGAAGCTTTAATCTTTGTATTTCGAACATGTTATTTATTCTGTATTTTATTTCAGTCCCTTGTATATGACTTCATAATACCGGATTTCAGCCAGTCCAAGTCACTGAGTTGCTGGAGCTTCTAACACAACCAAACAATCCAGTGTTATGCTATAAATTAAATATAATATAATATGAAGACATGGCATGTGTATTACGGGTACAATATTGTATGATGTTCTACATTAGAGATGGAATTCGGAAACATATGAGGATATAAACAGTGCAAAAATTTAATTAATTATCTTTACTCGATGGTTCATCTTGAGGTTTCATTGATGGGAAGAGAAAAACTTCTTGTTCAAACATAACATGCAACAGGTTATGAGTGTCGATTAAAAGTCGATTGAATCTCATTTGTGAGTGATTATATATAGATACACAAATAGATTAGAGAAAACCTTGGTATGTTGTGAATCCGTTAATAACATAGCTAGCCGACCGATACCCAATCCTCAACCACCTATTGGTGGTAATCTGTTGAAAACATTTTGATGTTTCGATATAACAAATTAAATGTTATTGGATTTCAATATTTTCTAATCATTTTCAAATATATACTCGATTAAACCTTTCGAATATCAAAATATTACTCCAAGTTTTTCAAATGTCAATTTCAATCCTTACTCAAGTGTAAAAGTGTGTTTTTATCTTTTAAACAATTTTACAAAGTATTTCGAGACTTAACGAGCCTTAATCGAGCCAAAAATATTTTCTTAATAAATCTTAAACCGAAAAACCAGATTGCCCAGAGGGTACCCGATACCCCCAAGAGGGTACCGATACCCCTATGTAAGATTTGGCTCCGAGAAATAACAGATTGCTCGGAGGGTACCGATACCCCCTGTCTCATAAGGGTCGAAATATTTGAATTTTACACTGCAGGTACCGATACCCTATGCAGGGGTACCGATACCCCTAACGCTCCAAGTTGTTTTATTAAATTGTTTTCACACACTAATGGCTCTATTGACTCCACCAATGATCCCCAACATTCAGAATTGATCCAAGGAGTATTTAAACAAGCTTAGAAGCCATTGATCAACAACAATCATCAAGAATCAAGAGAGAATCAAAGAGAAAGCATCAAACCTCAAGTTTGAGCATTTTCAAGCCTATTTCATTCAATATTCATTTTTGCTTTCAAGAAAACTTATTGTGCTCAATTGTATTATTCTTGAGTGTTCTTTCTTTGTTCTAGAATTGTGCAAACATCTTTCCTTGTTAGGATTTTCTTGTAAGTTTGCAAAATTTGTATTGTTCTCTTTGGGAGAGAGTGTTCTCAAGAATTTGGGGTATAATTCTTGAGGGATTTGTAAGGTTACTTTTTATCCTCAAAAGAAAGAAAAATTAGTGAATTTGTGGAAAATCCTTAGTGTGGATAGTTAAGGTAGTGGACGTAGACTTTGGTTGAGAAAGTCGAACTACTCTAAATCGTTGTGCAAAAATTTTCAATTTTCTACCAAAGCTTCCACCGAAATTTTTATTGCCAATTCACCCCCTCTTGGCCTATTCCGTTAATTGATTAACTCAATAATTGGTATCATAGCCTCACTCATTTGAAGGTTTAATCACCTCTTGAATCGATTCGGGAAGAGCTACATCGATAATCAAGTCATCAATGGCCTCTACTTCAAACCATGACTTCGGTCTTTATTCATTGCCCGTCAACAAGCCTCATTTCTTCAATAGAGCTAATTATGCTTATTGGAAAAATAGAATGATGTACTTCATTCAAGCAAGTGACATGGGAGCATGGAATATCATAGAATATTGATACATCAAACCTTCCACTCTTCCAAGATTGTGGAGTGAAGGAGAGACAAGAATGTCCTAGATCAACTCCAAAGTTATCCATATTATTTTTTGTGCTCTTGGACCGGATGAATACGGGAGAGTTTCATCTTGTATAACCGCCAAAGAGATATGGATAAACTACAAGTAACTCGTGAAGGTACAAACGAGGTAAAAAAATCTAAAATTAGTCTTCTAACTCATAGCTATGAAAATTTCAGGATGAAACCGGATGAAGATATCAAAGCTATGACGGATAGATTTTCCACGATTGTCAATGGTCTCAAATCATTTGGAGAGATCATTCCAAATGAGAAGCTTATGAGAAAGTTAGTTTACTCTCTTCCAAAATCTTGGCAATAAAAGAAGACGTCGATCATCGAGGCTATGAACTTAAAATCCTTAACTCTCAATGAGCTAATTGGTTCTCTCCTCACTCATGAATGATGCTTCAAGATGAGGTAGACCTCGAAAAGACAGACGAGATAAAGAAAGAGACGGGGAAGAAGAAGAACATGGGAGTTACTCTCAAATCCACAAAAGATGAGAGTAATTCAGATGAAGATGACAATGACGAGGATATGACAGTATTTGCCAAACGGTTTAAAAAATTGATAAGGCCCAACCAAGGAAGAAAATTCAAACGCAATGAAGGCTTAAAAAATGAACCGAAGGAGAAAGACCCTATCATTTTCTATGAGTGCAAAAAGTCGGGGCTTGTCAAATATGATTGCCCTCTATTAAAGAAAAAGGGTCAATCAAAGAAGAAGAAAAAGGCTCATGTGGCTACATGGAGTGATGAAGAAGGTTCCGATGAAGAGGAACAAGAAGTTTCTAACTTGTGCTTGATGGCCATCGGGGAAAACTCTCAGGTAACCTCTAACTCATTTGATTCAGATGATTTATCTTATGATGAGTTATTAGAGGATTATAATGCGTTGGCTTCGCATTATAAGACTATATTTTCAAAATATAAAAATGATATTTCAAAATTGAAAAATGAAAATAGTCTTATGTACAAAACCAACAATGATCTTGAAAGTAAGGTCAAAAAATTGCAAATCAAATTAGAATAATTTGAAAAGAAAAATACTTATTTGCATAACTTACTTTCAAGAGTAAATGATGATCATCAAAAGAAAATTGATGTTCTTAAAGCTTCTTTTAATAAGGTTGATCCAAAACGTTTTGAAAAAGGAGAAAGTTCAAAAATCAACTTTGTTAGAAAAATTTTTAAAAACTACAATCATAAAGGTCCCCAAAGAACCTCTAATGGAAAAATCGTTAGAAGTATATGGGTTCCTAAAGAACTAATTACTACTAAAGATAAGGATATCATACACAAATGGATACCTAAGGGGACTAGGATTTTGGAAACTAATAAATATGGACCCAAAAGAATTTGGGTACCAAAAATAAAAAATTAATCTATGTTTGTAGGGAAAGGAGCATTGTTACAAGGCACGAGAAACAAATTCAAACTCATGGTACCTTGATAGTGGATGCTTAAGACACATGACTGGAGACAAAAGCCGGTTCATAGAGCTTAACGCTAAAAATGGAGGAGAGGCGACTTTTGGAGATAATTCAAAAGGTCACATTGAAGGTATAGGTACTATAGGTAATACCTCTTCCATACAAATTAAAAATGTTTTATATGTGAATGGATTAAAGCATAATCTATTGAGTATTAGTCAATTATGCGATAAGGGATTCAATGTCATGTTTGAAACTAATGGTTGTAAAGTAATTGACATTGCATCTAATCGGATTATGCTTGTTGGTCATAGAATAGGAAACATATACATGGTGCATTTAGATTCTATAGATATGACTAATTTATGTCTAGTTGCTAAAGATGAGCATGATAGTTGGTTATGCCATAAGAGACTAGGACATACTAGTATGAGTGTTTTGCAACGATTGATTCAAGAGGAGATTTAGTAAGAGAGTTGCCTAAACTAAAATTTGATAATGATAAAATCTGTGATGATTGTGCTAAA